GGGATTTTTTGGGGAATTTTTTTGGATTTTTTTGGGATTTTGGGGGAATTCTTGAGGAATTTTTGGGGGATTTTTTTGGGGAATTTTGGGGAATTTTTTGGGATTTTTTTGGAATTTTTTAGAGAATTTTTGGGGATTTTTTGGGGAATTTTTGGAGAATTTTTTGGGAATTTTTTTGGGAATTTTTGGGATTTTTTTTGGAATTTTTTGGGATTTTGGGGGATTTTTTGGGAATTTTTCGTGGAATTTTTTGGAGAATTTTTGGGAATTTTTTGGGGAATTTTTTTGGATTTTTTGGGGGATTTTGGGGGATTTCTTGAGGAATTTTTTGGGGATTTTTGGGGGAATTTTGGGGATTTTTTTGGGATTTTTTTTGGAATTTCTTGGGGATTTTTGGGGGTTTTTTTTGGGATTTTTTTTGGAACTTTTGGAGAATTTTTGGGGAATTTTTGAGGAATTTTTTTGGGAATTTTTGGGGATTTTGGGGGAATTCTTGAGGAATTTTTTTGGGATTTTTTGGGGATTTTGGGGGGAATTTTGGGGAATTTTTTGGAATTTTTTTGGAATTTCTTGGGGATTTTGGGGGGGGTTTTGGGGGATTTTTTGGAATTTTTTGGGGATTATTTGGGAATTTTTGGGGGAATTTTTGGGAATTTTTGGGGGATTTTTGGGGATTTTTTGGGGATTTTTTTTTTAATTTCTTGGGTATTTTTTGGGAATTTTTCGAGGAATTTTTGGGAATTTTTTGGGAATTTTTGGGGGGAATTTTTGGGGATTTTTTGGGATTTTTTTTGGACTTTTTTAGAGAATTTTTGGGGATTTTTTGGGATTTTTTGGGATTTTTTTTGGAATTTTTTAGAGAATTTCGGGGGATTTTTTGAGGAATTTTTTTGGATTTTTTTGGGATTTTGGGGGAATTTTTGAGGAATTTTTTTGGAATTTCTTGGGGATTTGGGGGGGGGGGTTGGGGATTTTTTGGATTTTTTTTGGGATTATTTGGGAATTTTTAGGGGAATTTTTGGGGATTTTTTGGGAATTTTTTCCGGGAATTTTGGGAATTTTTTGGGATTTTTTGCAGGATTTTTGGGGATTTTTTGGGAATTTTTGGGGGAATTTTTGGGGATTTCTTGGGGATTTTTTGGGGTTTTTTGGGGGGAATTTTTGGGGGAATTTTTGGGGATTTTTTGGAATTTTTTTTGATTATTTGGGAATTTTTAGGGGATTTTTTGGGAATTTTTTAGGGACTTTTTGGGAATTTTGGGGGGAATTTTTGGGGATTTTTTGGGGAATTTTTGGGAATTTTTTTGGGAATTTTTTAGGATTTGTTTGGAATTTTGGGGGGAGTTTTGGGGATTTTTGGGGGGCTTTTTTGAAGATTTCTTGAGGAATTTTGGGGGAATTTTTGGGAATTTTGCATATGGGATGATTCATCGGACCTCATTTGCATATCGATCTGATGTGATAACTACTAATTTACATATCGATATCTGGTATCGATAACACTCATTTGCATGCCGATTTGATTGATCCAGACTCATTTGCATATCACATCTGATGTCGATCCTCATTTGCATATCGATGTCTGATATCGATACAGCCTCATTTGCATAAAGTGGTGACATCGATAGCGCCTCATTTGCATATCGATGTGATTGATAGTATCTCATTTGCATATCGATCTGATACTGATCCAGATTTGCATATCGATATCTGATATTAACGCTCATTTGCATATCACGGTGATATTGCTAATGACTCATTTGCATATGGACATCTGATCCCGATATTACTTTCATTTGCATATCGCTCTGGTATTGATAAAGCCTCATTTGCATATCGAGCGCTGATATTGATGGTCATTTGCATATCGATCTGATGTCGATATTGCCTTCATTTGCATAAAGTTCTGATTGATCCAGCCTCGTTTGCATAAGGCTGTGATTGATTATCAGCTCAATTTGCATATCGATCTCTGATGTAGATAACGGCTCATTTGCATATCGATATTCGATAACCCTATCAGCCTCGTTTGCATATTGATATATACTAATTTGCATATCAATCTTTTATTGCTAGGTCATTTGCATATCGATATGATTGATAATGCCTTATTTGCATATCAATCTGCCACAGCCTCGTTCGAATACCGTTATCTATATCGATGCTCATTTGCATATCGGAGTCAAATATCACCGGAGCCTCATTTGCATAAATGCCTGACATATGTCCTAATTTACATATCGACATCTGATATCGATCCTAATTTGCATATGGATATATTATATCGATATCAGCCCCATCTGCATATCGATCTTATATCGATAGCATCTCATTTGCATATCACTGCGATGTTAATAGCGGCTCATTTGCATATCATCATTTGACAGTCATATCAGCCTCATTTGCATATTGATGAATGCTCATTTACATAACGACTTTATACTGATAGATTCATTTGCATGTCGATAACTACTCATTTGCATATTCATCGGGTATTGATAGTGTCTCATTTGCATGTCGTATCTTATGCTGGGCCTCATTTGCATATCGATGTCTGATATCGATACAGTCTCATTTGCATAATGCTCGCTTATTGATACAGCCTCATTTGCATACCGATCTGATATAGTTCCCAATTTGCATATCGATCACTGATATCGGCGCTCATTTGCATATCGAGCTGATACTAGTCCTGATTTGCATATAATACTGCTCTTGATCCTAATTTGCATATCGACCTCTGACATCTATGGCGGCTCATTTGCATATCGCGGTGACATCGACAAAGCCTCATTTGCATATCAATCTGATTTGTTCTTCCTCATTTGCATATCGGTTTGATAATGAGCCTAATTTGCATATCGATCTCCGATATGGATAAAGAAACAATTCCTGGAATTCTTCCCATTCCTAATGAGTTTTCTTAATTAATTAAACGCAATCAACGTCCTAATTAATTAATTAATGGAATCAAATAAAAATGGAAAGTTGGAACTCGCCAAAAATCCAGGTAAAATTCAAACCAATTAATTTTTTTAATTAAATATTTGAGAAATTAATTAACATTTTGATTTTTCTCGAATTCCAAACGCAA